TTTTCACTTGAAATAATTCTTTTAATCTGAAAAATAAGCATAGTAACAGCATAGAGAAAAACATTGTACATTTTGTTAATCCAAATATGTGGATGTTAACTTTTAACGTCGTCCTGGGGTACCAGGGCCTACTATTCCGAGACTTCTTGGGATTTTTTTTTAGGTTTATTTTTTTTTTCAATCCGACCGACCGACTCAATATCAGGAAACGCATTCGACGCTAAACGAAGAAAAAAAAAGGGGATGGCCTTACGGCGCATCCTTTCCAGTATTGATACTTTTAGTGCCCAACAAATTTACCAATCGATGATTTTGTCGATATTTACGCATTGCGGCTATAATAGTCTTGGATGGTCAGAGTCCCGCAAAAGCATGATCCGCTCCATTGAAAAACGAAGTGCAAAATCATTTCCCAGAAATGCAGTCAGAAGAACTGCGATCTTCGAGTTTTAATAATTGACAACCTTTTCCAAAAGAAAGCATGCTGTTTTGTATTTGACTGCCTCCTAAGAATGGAACTGCATGTTTCCCGTTTAGGGAACTATTTTCAACGATTTCACCTTAATTACTTAAACACTAGAAACAATGAGAAAGCAGCAAAGCTGCCCAAGGTGAAACTCGATTTTGCGCGCCGTAGTTTTTATTTTTTAGGTGCCTTGTGTAACGAGAGGAAATTCCACTGTGTCAAGCGGCTTTTCGGCCTGTCAAACCAAATTAGCGGAAAAGTCGAACTACGAAAACAACGGAACTAAAGCTCTTCGCGAGGGCGCAAGAATTAGCAATAGTCACGTGATCTGCTATAATGGAAGTTATTGACGCGGGAAACTGCAATTCGGTAGAGCGACTGGCTCGCTGCTGGCACTCGTTACTATACTGCCAGAGGTACAGGGTCTAATTTCCAAGTCCCAAGGTACGAAGGTTGGACAAGAACTGAGACTTTTCTGTAATGCTGCAACTTCTTTATTGTAGAGTGAACTTAGTAGATAGTACTTCACATGTAATCGTAGGTAATCGTGCAGGTAATCGCAGGCTAGGTAATCGATTTACAACAGTTTAAGTACTACTTTTATACAGTCTACAGTAAACACAGGTGTTTGATATCACAAAGGAACACAAAAACCTATTCAAAAATACCATGCTAGCTGATCAACGCGTTACAATTCGATTGGTCAAAAGACTTTTCCTTTATGGTGAAAATACAATACTTCCTATTTCGGTTACTGGACTTTTAGGGACTCGTCAGAAATTACCGGGGGGGAGGGGGGTGGGAATTTTAAAGTCTGGTTCGGAAATGAGGTGACCCATCCCCGCTATGGGAGTGAAATTTGCTAACCCTCCCCTTGACCTTGGCCTGAAATATCATTACCCTCCCCCTCTTGTATAAATGATAAAATCTAGTTCTTGCAATACATTAGGGTGAGTCAGTATTATGAAAGCTCAAAATATATTTCTAACCTGTTCTTTGTAATGCCATATACATACATTTTAGATGACAGCATTAAGAGTCCGACTCTGATTCTGACACCTGATCACTCGACTCTCCTATTTCTCTCAGATTTTTTTACAAAATAAAGAACTTTTTTTTTCTCCTGTGGGTGAGCCTCTACATGATCACGGACACATATTTTCATGATTCTCCCCCTTATAACGGCCCATTTTTCATGACCCCTCCCTTTTCTGCTGTCTCAAAAAGTTGTGACCCTCCCTCTGTCTCCACCCCCCTTCCCCCTGCTAATTTCTGACAAGTCCCTTAGAAAAAACCATTTTGTAAATCAAGCTGAATGAATAGAGCACAACAGTTGTTCATTTGAAATGTAAAAGAGCCCTCGTTTAACAAAGAGACACGTACAGAAGTACACGTGTTCTATTGAAATTACGTGTCAGATGTTCCAATTCCAATACAGTGAAACCTGTATTAAGCGGACACCCTCGGGGAAAGCTGTAGTGTTCGCTTAATACAGGGTGTCTGCGTAATATAGGTTTCAATAGATAACGCCATATGAGGTGTCAAATGCCATTCAAATGAACAGTGGAAACGTTAAGAATACTCACAGAGACTATGACGATATACGTTTGCATGAATTTCTTTATCAAAATGAACCAGTTGATCATAGTACCTTAAACATAGATTGCAACTCAAATTTGGAGAAATCAGATGAGTGAAAAAAGCTCTATACAAACAAAACAAAATAGAAAACAAATTTACTGTACTGGGAAACTAATCAAATAAGTTCGTCAAGTCACGTTTGTTAATGCAAAAATCGAAAATATTTGTGGGTGACAATTGGAGGCAATCTTTAGCATTTCCGTTGTCTGGCATGTTGGGTGGTGGAATTTAATTACAAGTGTCCGTTTAATACAGGTTGGAAACAATAGAAATAACCATTTTAGGTACTTTTTAGGTGTCCGCGTCCGCTTAATAGAGGTGTCCGCTTAATAAAGGTTTCATTTAAAGTATTAAAGTAAGGGAAATAAATTTGGGGACTTCGGCTACTGTCCGCTTAATAGAGGGTGTCCGCTTAATGCGGTGTCCGCTTAATGCGGTGTCCGCTTAATACAGGTTTCACTGTATTTGTACACATGTCACAACCTGCTATTTTGCATTTGAATAATACGCATGAATTTTTAATAAAATACGCTTTACCCTGTTCTCTTGGTGTCTTCTTGCTTCCTGGGTTATTTTCCCGATCCAAAATAGCGTAAATTGCAACGAATTGCGAAAATAACCACACAGGAGGCAAGAAGACACCAAGTAAACAAGGTAAAGTGTATTTTATTAAAAATTAATGCGAGTATCTATCTTCTCCAATCTATTACTTGAATTCTCATACAAATCCTTTATAATAGCGGCCACTTCGAAAATCACGCAAGCGCATGTACTCTCATATTGAGCTTGGTATACCTGTGGAAAAATTGATTTAATGAATGATTTTCCAGTAATCGGATACTCATGTTTTGCGCACAGGATTTTGGGATCGCCTGGGGGGCAAACATTGCGAGTCGCTATAAAGAATTGTATGGCGTGGAGTTGTTTCTCCGTTAAAAGCAGTGTCTTTGGACATAGAATGCCACACTTTGCCGTGATTTTAAGAGAAACCGAGGTGACTAACGTTGGTGTGTTGAAATTTCGAGTTTCTGTGTGATTAATGCGATAAATTCTATCGATAAACACTCCTTGCGTGAGGTTGAGTGTGAAATTTATGTTTAGTGAATTTATACAGTGATCTACATGAAGAAAAGGTCTCGAAATATATAGTGCAAATTTAGGTATACATGTAGGGGGATTGGCTCATTTAAGCTTTTTAGTTTTAATTACGTGTGGTGATATTTACAACGAGTGTAACTCCCGGGGGGGGGGGCACTGCCATATATGGGCTATATAGGTATGTGCCGCTGTGAAGGGTATGGTTTTTAAGCAGTTTACTCTAGGATAGGGTATATGAATCAGAGTGTTTGGGTCTAGAATAGGGTATCATTTTTCAGGAAACTGATCAGTTGGTTGAAGATTTTATCTAGACAAGGGAAACAGCTACTCTAGGATAGGGGGATTTGGGGAGTTTACTCTAGTATAGGGTAGCAAAATTCAGCTGAACTAGCTCTGGTATAGGTTAAGGGTTCCACGGTCCCAGCGGCACATCCCCACCCAGAAATTCCTTAAGTACCCCCCCGGGGGTGTAACTACGCTCGCGCGGCCGCGATCAGCTCTGTGCGGGTTATGACGCTCAACAATCGTAGGACGTGGCNTCAGGAAACTGATCAGTTGGTTGAAGATTTTATCTAGACAAGGGAAACAGCTACTCTAGGATAGGGGGATTTGGGGAGTTTACTCTAGTATAGGGTAGCAAAATTCAGCTGAACTAGCTCTGGTATAGGTTAAGGGTTCCACGGTCCCAGCGGCACATCCCCACCCAGAAATTCCTTAAGTACCCCCCCGGGGGTGTAACTACGCTCGCGCGGCCGCGATCAGCTCTGTGCGGGTTATGACGCTCAACAATCGTAGGACGTGGCCATAAAAATAAAAAATCCTCCTTTACTTTGGCATAAACAAAGTAACATCTACGAAATATTTCATGCAAAGTACATGGTATTTAACCATTAGTAGATGACGCAGAAATCATTCGAACGAGTAAGATTTCCGATACAAAAGCAGTGAGTGTGTAAATAAATACCAAGTTGATGTGCGAAATTCAGAGATTCTATATCTTCCCTCAAAATGATCAGAAAAGGCATTAGAACTCATTGGTGCTCTGGATCATGACAAAACATTTCGCTTGTGTTTTTTTGGCTAGAAGGAATCAATATACCAATGTGGGGAAGATGTTTTTGCTTTTAAAGTTAATACCTATAAAATTCGACAATACATAAGCTTACCTTCGATCGTTGTCACAAACTGGCACAACGTTGTGATCGCGGCCGAGCCGAACGTAATTACACTCGTTGTAAATATCAGCATATGTAGTTACAACTGGAAAGGCCTAAAAAATGAGTCCACATTCCCCGCTCATTTATACCTGGTATATAAGTTAGTACTATATATTTCGAGACCATTCAGTAAATTTCAGTGTCGACCTTTCGCAAGAAGGAGTGTTTATCGATAGATTTCATCGCATTGATCCCACAAAAACTTACAATCAACGCACCAACATTAGTCACCTCCGCTTCTCATAAAATTACGGCAAAATGCGGCATTCTCTGTCCAAAGACAATGGTTTTAAAAGGAGAAACAGCTCCACGCCATACATTTCTTTGTAGCGACTTGCAATGTTTTGCCCTGTGGCGATCCCATAATCCTGTACGCATAACTAAGTCTCCGATTACTGGAAAATCAATGAGCCAATAAATGATTTTCCAGTAATCGGAGACTTAGTTATGCGCACAGGCTTATGGGATCGCCACAGGGCAAAACAACGAACGACTCACCACCGGTCTTCCACGTAAATCATTTTGTGAGCCTGTTGAGAAAGTATTGGCTGGCAGGTTATATATCACGCTGGAAAAATATGTATGGCAATAATGATCCTAATGAGATGGTAATCTGCCCCTATAACGATGCTCATCGTATTTCAGCAAAAAAATTTCCTTACCATTTGCCAAAGTGCCGAAAGGTAGGTGACGAAAGCATGGCCGCCCTCAGGATGGAATGATTTGGAAGGGTCGTTTCAATATTAAACCTCTAACAGAAGTCTCTAACAACACGAAGGCCTTCTTTCGGCTGCATCTGCTTTAAAAGTTATATATTTCTTTTAGAAACGCTTAAAACACACCAAAAAAACTGTTATGTCCAATTCGGTGCTTAAGTTTCAGTTTCATTCAATGGCTCTCTTTTAATTTATTTCACTTATAAACGCTCGTTACCGATATTGATCAAGCTCATTCTCTCCTCACGGGATGCATTAACTCCCTACTAGCGTTAGATAATTCAACAAGAGGCCAGGCTCATGAAATTCCTGTCCATTGCCAACGAATATCAGAAACAATTCCTTTTTGGAACCTTCTCTTTTGTAAATGTTTGATGTTTGATTTTCTCTCATACAGTCGAAGCTCTCCTTGCGACCACTCACGTAAGCAATCAGTTCTAGTTTATACGACCACCTCTGTGAAAACCCGTTTGAACTGTGACTTAAACTTTGTAATGAAAAGCTTGGGTAAATGATTGCTCCTGCAAGCCACCATGACCACTTTTGGGAGAGTCCGACTTTTGGTTGAGGGTTGAGGGTTGAGGGTTGAGGGTTGAGGGTACCATTTCAAGGGTTCATTTTTTTAAAAGAAATTTTCACGAAGAGTGCCAGATACAAAAAAGTTCAGTTTTGATTACCGCTGACACAGAGTGTTGACAGATGCATTGTAATAAGAGTGCACTTGTAAGCTATATAAGAGAAACTAGTCTAACCTTCCGTTGGTATTTAAGAAAATATACTTAAGTGGGAAGTGAGCAAGGAGCATCAGACATGCAATAGTTCAGTTTTAAATAGCGCTGACCCAGGGAAGGAGTCCAACTTTTGGTCAAGTTATTTAACAAAAATACACTAAAAATAAATGCCCTTATGACAGACAAATGGCCTTTAACTCATTTTATCATATCCAAAGCCCTGACTAGGGGACTAGCTGGTCATGCAATGCATCTTTCAATCAGGTTGCTTGAAAAACGCTGTGAGAAAACAGGTGTATGTATGTGTTTGTTGGGGAGGAGGGGGCTATTTAGTAATTTTTTTTGCAAGAATTTTTTCTTATTCTTCCAACCGATGGCCTTGTGTGAATTTTTTAAGGGCATTGCCACTCCCTCCCCCAGCTTCTAATCATGGCAAACTAAAAGAGAAAATAACTAGTCACAGACTTTCGATTCCAAAAAACTGTCTCAGGAAATCTTATGAACGAAACTTGCACAATTAATGAGAAAATGAGTGGCAAATTTACGTCAACTTTGGTTGAGCTTTTCCACGTGTCATGATGTTAGTGTTATGCAGAAAGCACGAAATCATGTATTATTTGCTTTTTCTGATGAATCACGATAAATAAAAAAGCTAAACACAGTTTATGATGACACTAGGACATTACGAGGCAATGCATTTTACCAGACAGGGTGTTGCAGTGATGCAATAGGCCAGTTGCACTAAGAGGTCACGTGACCAATGCTTCCTTTAAATGATTCGTTGGAATCTTGCTGATGCCAAAAATTGACAGAGAACATAAAAATTATCTTACTCCCGAAATTTGAGAGGGAACGCATTTAAGGTTGATATTTTTTGGCACTTTGATTTTTCAACAAAGCAGTATGATTTGTATTGGCCGCCATGTTGGAGGGCGTACTTGTGCCCTCCAACATGGCAGCCAAAACTACTTTTTGCTTATATCTTGTTAAACGTTTGATAGTTACGCTCAGATGTGCTGTAAACATTACCACATCATCTTTTCAACATTTCCCTTGAACTTTAACTGCAAAATTTGTGTTCTGAAAGATGTAATACCTAATTTTAAAAATCACATTTTGGTCACGTGACCAGCTACGAACTTACTCATTTTAAGAAAATGGTGCGGGTTTGAAAAACCAAATCACTGTTATTTTGTTTAAGACATGACCCACTAATCGTCTTTCGAAGGCAAAATCCTATAACTTTCATTTTCATAACCACGATGTCACATGATCTCTTAGTGCAAATGGCCTATTGTTTTAACAAAAAACAAGGCAAATTTTGTTAAAATAACAGTAACCTGGAAATGATTGGGCCATGAATTAACTCTTTGATCTTGGAAGTCATGTCTGCCGTTTTGGGGTAGCAGGACTTGTTATTGGCTAGTACAATAAGTATACTCTAAACACCAAAAATAAATCCCTTGAAAATCCCGAAACTTTTTTAACACATATATTATCAATTTTTATATGTGTTAAAAAGATTTCAGGGATTTATTTTTGGTGTTTAGAGTATACTAATTGTACTAGCTAATAACAAGTCCTGTTAAAGACACTAAAGCACAATAAACCCTGGAAATATTGGATTAGTGGGGACCATTATAGGTTGGGGGAGGGACTGAGATCCCCCCTCAAAAAAAGAAAAATCATTGAAGGTAAAATCTTTCGGGAAAAATTCAGTAACCACCCCTATGACCCCACAAGTGCAGTGACTACCCCACAAATGTTTCAACCAGTGATTGAAACATGCATTACATGACAAGCTAGTCAGGGCTGCGGAAACACTCAATTACCAGCCACTGTTCGAGAAATGACCCCACGCTCCTCCTGAGAGAGCAGGAAATCAAGCCTAGGCTGTGAAGAAATGAGATAAAGGTCTCTTCTCTTGTCTTTCAGTAGTGTGTTTATTATTTTCAGTGTATTTTTTTGAATACCTTGACCAAAGATTAGACTCTTTTCTTTTGGAAGCAAACAGTTGTTACAATGCCTCTATCAACACTTTGGGTCAGCACTAATAAAAAGTGAACTTCTGCGTTTCTGGCGCTTAAACTTTTACATGTCTGGCGCTTAAAAAATGCAAGAAAAGTTTTAAAAAATAGAAAACATGAAATATGTAGTACCCTCAACCCCTCAACGAAAAGTCGGACTCCTTTTGGGATTACCCAACTGGAATTTTTCTTTGTTTTTAAGCTTTCATAAGTGACCACTAAGAGTCTTTTTCATATAAGTCAACACCTTAATGAAACTGTACATTGCGCTAATGGTTCGTTGATTAAGATCTTGTACAGTGCAGTATTGTATGAAGGTCATTTCGATAGTGACCACTTGGCCTGCGTGGCAACAATTACTTACAGACCCTAACATACCCTTTATGAATTGCTAATGAGGTTCTGAAGCTCTTGTAAGCGACCACCCTCTATTGCTTCAGCATGCGGTTGCTTATGAGACCTAATTCTCGTAAGTGACCAGCTCTAGTTTGACCACTTTTTCTGAGATGGGCACTTTCGAGAGAGCTTTGACTTTATTTCCCTCTAAACTGAAGAACAATAGACTAATTTGCTGAAAACAATCACATTCATGTTACCCATTAAGGAGGGGAAATTCAACAGGTGGTGAATTCTACAGATCACGCAGAGTTTTCCAAAAAGGTCTGAGACTAGTGCACTTGTATGGTTGTTAAACAAATGGTGCTTATCGATTACCACACCTAGGTCTTTAACTGCAACTACTGGGGGGCAAGGTCTTAACCTAGGAAAACAAGAGAGGGCACTGGCATTTTTCTTAATGTTTGTGTAGTGCCAAAAACACAGAACTTTGTTTTATCCAGGTTTATCAACAGATGGTTATCACAGCACTATGAGGCTACATGTTGCAAATCAGGTTGAAGAGCCTCAAGGCCGACATCAACATCTTTGTTAGAAAATGCAAAGTAGAGCTTAGAAGCCTCCATATAAGACTTGAATTTACTGGTGTTAATCAAATATGATAATACACCTTAGAACTGTGGATTTCTACAGAAGTGGTACCAGAAAGTCAGTTTTACGAGACAAAATAGAGAATATTCAAGGAAAGCTGTATTTCATAGGCTTATGAATCTGTTTACCATGAGATTTTTGTGCCTCATTTTGAGACCGCAGGATTGCCCTTAAAACCGTAAGTCTCACAGCAAAATTGTAAGACTTGAAAGATTTCCACACAATGCCAGTAGTAATGCACTTGTCATCTTCTTCCCCCAGGGACGGGACTCCGAGCTAACCACGGGGATTGTAAAATGGGTGAAGAAAAGTTGAGAATTTTCTCCTGGGATGGAGAAATTTAACATAGCATACATGTCGTCCCCTCTGGGTCAAGTACTTCTCAACAACTGTCCCCCTGGGCCCATTTCCTAGAAAGATGGTTAAGCTTAACCCAGGATTAAATGAAATTCCTGCTAAGAGCATGTAACTCAAACTTACAAAATACTGCTGAGCTTTTAGTCTGAGACACAGTAATTATTATACAAAATGTTTCTCTAGAAGCAATGCATAGAGGGTAAATACAAAAAAGGGAACAAAATCTTTTTCCTGGATTAGTGCTAATCGGCCTTTCAGAAACTGGGCCCCGATTTCTACCTCTTCTAACTGGGATTTAGGGGACTTGTTTGATAGTTGTTTCTGTTGTAACCTGTGTAGTTGGCTTGATTTCTTGCACGCAACTGTTATTACAGACCACAAAAGCACCAGTGGATCTAACATTAGGCTGTAACGCAATGAGAAGAATGGACAAAAATTCCTTTCAGTTCACTTCCCCCTTCATTGATTCTCTTGCCTTGGCTGATGTGCTCCCTAAAGATTGTATCAATGCTAACATATTGCTCTACAATTATTATTTTTGTTCTTCAGCAATATGCTAGTGGAGCGTGGAAAAATTGTCTGTTTCATTTCCGCCACGAGGTGCCAGTTGAGGAGTATGACTATCATCTGACCATATGTGAATACAAGGTACTATGTAAAGAAATCACAGGAAAAAACAACAGATTCCCATTTTTGGATATTTTAGGGTATTTAAAGAATACCCACAAAAATCCCAAATTTAGAAGAGTGAGACAAGTCCCAATCAGGGAACTTGGTTGGGAATTCCCTGGTTGGGACTTGTCTCACTTTGCCAAATTTGGGATTTTTATCGGTATTCTTTAAGTACCCTAAAATTTCCAAAAATGGGAATCCGTTATTTTTTCCTGTGAATAAGACTATATAGTAGTTTGATTTAAGAACTCCCTTCAGCACTTGACACCAAAATATTAGAAAAAAAAAGAATTAGCCTGGCTGCTTTTAATTTTGTCAGGGTTGGGTTTGGTAAAATGAAGTTATAAGTTTTAATAGTGAAAACCCTCACTTGAAGTTAGCATGTATCTGGCTGCACATTTGTTGAACTGAGGTATCTTTCAGATAAAAGCTGTAGTTACCATGTTGGGACACATACCAAAGTGCTGCATACTTTGTGCCCAGGCAGGGGGAGTTGGGGGGGCGGGGGGCTGGAGTACTCTAGATTTCAAGTGACAGGAATGATCGAAGGGTTTTTTTGGTTTGAAATGTTAGATTTCGCAATTTTTTTTTGGGAAGGAAAATTTTGGCAACTGTTTTTTTTTGGTAGCTTGATTTTAGTAGGTTTTTTTGGGGTATTATGATAGTTCCCACGTATCCCGCATGGTCTGTTTTTAAATGCAACCAAGGCATTGAAGTATTTTGTCGAATTTTCAGGTACATTTTGCACTCTATGGCCAAGACAATTATGTTTTTGAAAGGGAATTTATGTATTTTTAAATGTTTCATAGACGTTTTATAAATTTTTCTCTTCAAAGGCAATTGCTTTAAAGGATTAACTTTTTAGATTTTGAATACAAATTTTCGAGAAACGGCTTCTCTGTCTATTGTTTTGGGTTTGTTCATTCATAAAATTAGCTCAAAACACGATTGTGACTTCAACATCCAAGCTGAATTTAAGCTTAAATGCTTCTCACATTTATTACACGCATTACTTTTTGCGAAGATGTCAGGGTCAGGTTTTGGACACTTTTTGATATGTAGCTAATGAATTTTATTCGAAAATATTTGTTACTGTTTATTCTAGATTTTTAATATAAGAATTTTAAAAGCCTATTTGCAGTATAAGTTTACCGTGCAGTGGGTCAACGAGGGATCGTTTTTTTGAAGTGACAACTTCACAAAGTTGCGAGGACTTCAATGGGTTTCATAATGTTATGTTTGGCCTGGGTAGTGAGGCAATAATATCCGGCTCAGTGTTTTGGTAAGATTCCTGGTTTCAACCTTTGAAAGCTTTCTCGGCTTTCGGGAGTTTTTCCCCCGTTTGTCGGCCATCTTTTTAAGCGGGCGTGGGAACCTGAATTAAAACTACGTCACATTGTTTACGAAGTTTGATTGGTCAGTTATCTCTTCTTCTCGTTCCAAATATGGTACTTTCGAAAATGAATAATCACAAGCATCAGACGAAGCAAACATCTGAGAGTTACATGTTTCAACCCCTTATGAGTTTCTGCCATTACCCTTAAGAAAAAGACTCAGATTTCCAGGTCTCAGTTTAAGGACTTTAAGAAGTTAATTTTTTGTTCGTAAGACGTTTTAGGGAGATTCTGTACAAGTAGTCATGTACAAGTGCACTTCTGTAAATGAACTGTCACATAGAATAGCTAATGATTTTGTCAAAAAAATTACCAGTAATTGGCAGGGGAAATCAAACTTTCATTATTTTTTTAGAATAAATATACCACTTCATTCTAGGTTGCCTAAAAAATTTCTCCCTTGTATTCCGACTCTCGTAAGTGACCACCTCCCGTAAGCGACCACCAAGTGTTTGCATTTTGGGTCGCTTACGGGAGGTTTGACTGTATCTACCTCTTATTTCCAACTGAACTCTCTTGGAATACCTTTTATCTGTGTGTTTTTTAGGATACTATCAGACAGGACCTTGAAGAAGGTACGTTTAAAGCATGCAAAAAAATATGCATAGAATCGGGCTTGAAATAATTGCTGGAGAGGCTCTGGACATGATGACTGGCCAAATTCATTTTAGCTCGGTCACATATTGTTTCTGGCTGGTCAAATTTATAAGATAAATAACTCATTTCAAACAAGGGCCGACGAACCAAAACTGGTGTTGTTGCCTGACTAGTGAAAGTGAAAATATTTTTAATTTTGTGACCGAAAGTGTGTTAACCCTGATGTCTGTTTCAATACATGAATTGTAAACAATGGGTATAGTTGCATTTCTCCCAGGATTTCAGATCAAAGTTCTGCAATACACAGTAGAGACCTTTAGCATGAGGTAAACCACAAACCGCAGACCGCAAACCGCAGTTACGCGTTTGCAGTTTCGCGTTGCCGAGATTTTAAACTTTAGCAAGGCGTTCAGTTCACTTCAGTTCAGTTCATTTTTATTGAGCGAAAATACAATACAATACAAGAATACATAAAGGAATTGTAAGGTTGTAAGGGAGCCCAGAAGAAACCAGAAGGCTTTATGAAGCCTCGGCTCCCCAGTCTAAAAGAGATAAGCAAAATAAAATGATATTCGCGGAGTGATACGTTAAAAATAGGAACTAAACAGAGACTGAGTTAAGTTATGAATTCAGAAACAAGATAAAAAAAATGGATTGGAACAGAATACTTTCCTTTGTTAGTATGGCAGAAAGGAATATAAAATTGATTTGAACTACGCGTTCATTGTTTAGGGCCGCTATGTTGTTTTCATCAAGTCGAAGTGCATCACTCTAATCGCCCAAAACATAGCAATAATTCATTGATTCGAGATCAAAAATCCAACAAACACATCACAAACGGATACAAAAAGCTAGTTCATACCTTTAAACGTGAGGCTGTACAATTTTTTGTGGCAAAAAACCTTGCCGTAAATCACTTACCGCTGGAAGCCCTTCCTGCGGTTCAAACGTGAACTGCAAACTGCAAACGTGACCGCAAGGCCGTGGTCACGTGACATTTTGCGGTTTGCGGTTTGCGGTTTCCCACGAAAAAACCTGATGCTAAAGGTCCCTAGTGACTTGCTACATACTGATAACAACTGAAACAACTGAACAGCATGGAAATTTTAATTTGTTTCATTTCAATACAATTGAATGTGACCAGTCAACATGACCGGTGAAAGGTTGACCGGTCAACTCATCGATCAGATTCAGTCCGGACATTGTCCGTTGGCCGGCCGTTATTTCGGGCCAGAGAATTGTTGGAAGAATGCTGTGTAATAGGCCCTTTGCATCTAGAGTCATTCACATGGTACAAAACCACCATGCAGAAGAGGAAGGGACACATTGGGAGAAATTTTGTTTGTCTTGTCCTGGAGCATCCATCGCTCCCAAGTATGTCTAGATAGTAGCTGCAAACTTAAGGGCCTGTTCCTGGGAATGCTTTATTTTGTGGAAGTTGTGTTCTTTTATTGCCTACTGGGAGAATTTTTTTTGAAACAACACTTAATATAGGGTTGAAATATTTTGTAAGGACATTTTGTTTTGTCCCCATGGTCTATTATCTGGTTACAATCGTTGTTTTTATTGTCCTGTACTGGTAAAGCCATAATTATTCACCTGTAAAATTTCCATTGATTGAACTATCATTTTAAGACATTAATGACTGTCATACATTTGTACTAGTGCATGGCTTTACCTAACATTTTTTATACCCTTCATTGTTTTCACTTTCTCAGTTTTCAATCGGGATGTTATCGAAGCCAAGAGAATGTGCCAACCACAGCCAACACCAGCAATTCAACCTGACAGTACTGAGGACTGGGAGTCTGGTATTTGATACTTTTATTTGAAGTTTTACATTCTCAGGAATGAAACAAAAATAAACCAACAAAAAGCCTCAACTAACCTAAAGATTATTATCTTTCACCTGACATAATGCAAATGAGCAAGAACCATTCTTCAAAGGGGTAAATTAAACATATATATGCATTATTGATCAGTTATTTTTGTGTTTTTATGGACCAAGATAAGGTTGAGGTCAACAAAAGTGACAAAAAAGCGAGAGAACAAGGCTAATATCTACCCATCTTAACCAAGCAAGTGTGGTCAAAACTGTATTTATCACGATCTTTGTCAAGAAAACCTTTTTTTTGCAGGACCAAAACCGGAGCAGGCAAGATATACCCATCTTGGCCACCTGGATATCCAACCAGAACAAGGGAATTGCATAATCTTGCCTGTTATAGAACCAGCAATATCATAACATTAAGTGCTGTTGCATTTTCAGAGGCTCTTAGTGAACCCTTTTCAATAGCAAGGTCTGAACCATCTAATGAGCAAGAAGATGCATATGATATTGTACAAGCTATGCAAGAGGTTCAGCTTCAAGCACACACTGCTCCTTCTAGACCAGTTGATACCTCAGGGTGAGTAACAACAGTCATATAATAATGTGTGGTCCCACTTACTTTGTCAAATGTAGGCAGACCCTAGTGTAGTTGAATTTATTATAGGGACCATATCCACATTCAGTAAGAGAAATATAATTTAGTCCTTGCTTGTTTACTTTCCCCATAAATCTCTGAATGAGTCATTTTCACATTGTAGTTAGGCAAAGACAGCAAAGACATGTACCAAAAAGTGTGATGCCCATGTTAGGTTGTTGTTTTGCTCATTAAACCTATACTTTTTTGATGTTCTCATTGCCATCTTGTAGTTGGATCTTTAAGTTCCTATTACTTCCTGTGAAACAAAAGGAAGTGATTTCACTGGACGTTTTGATGTAAGCGTCATGTGGATGCACATGTTCAGTGGAAGGGCATGTGATGAAAGGGTTGCTCGGAGTGGTTTCTCTCCCTTCGTAGCATTACGTCTGGCCTGGAGAAACCACTACCCACAGGGTTAAGAAGGGTTGATTTGGGAAGGGATGTACGAGGGCAGACATGATGGTGACACCCCTGACTTGACCTGCCAATCTGTCCTAGACAATTCATGACTGACAAACTTCATCATTGTATGGTAAAATCCAGATAGTATGGTGGAACTATCAAGGCTAACTATGTTTGGGGAGTGGTGCTTGATTGTTTACCTTCCAGAGGAAAAACTGTTATCCATTTGGACAGCATTATTATTGAAAATAATCTTTTTGGTGGGAGTGAAATTTTTCAGATATGGGGAAAGAGATTTCTCTAAACGTGACACTTCCAGTTCAAATTCCTTACCCTGAAAAATGCCTTTTGCATCTTTTTGGGCACAAGTGATGGTCTAAGGTAATTGGGGATTTTGAAGTTTTGAATTGATTGGCACGTAAAGGTATTGTTCATTTCATGAAGCTGTATTACTAGTCATCAATACTTTCTAGCAACATTCAATAGCTTTTTTGAGATGATTTTAACCACAAAGGGCTTTTTCAATTTAGTTTGACAGCAACACAGAAGAAGAACCTAAAACGTTCTCAAAAACGGCAAGAGAAAAGGGAAGCTGAAGAGTAAGTGTGTCTTGCTACTAGTAATGTTCTCTGTTTCATTGCAAACAGGCTCAGTTATTAGCCACAATAAATAATAATACAATCGTAATAATAATTAGCTTTTTTTAAAATTATTATTGAATGAGGCTGAATATCATCTGAAGAATTAATTAAGGAGATCTCAGAGGGTGTTATCACCCTCCGAGATCTCCATAATTCTTCAAATGATGCAAAAGCCTCATTTTCAATAATATTGGTTTTTATTCATTCAAAATAATTCCTAGTTTAAAAACAAGCTAAACATGCTTACCTCCATCGATGTTAAGTTCATCTATGAATAGAGCATCATGTTTATTTGCAAGTTTAGGAGATAAAGAGTTGTTCAGTTCTGCAAATATTCTCCCAATAGCAGATGTCATCCGTTGAATATGGTGACCGAGCATTGTCACAAAGAATTTGGCCAGATTTGTGCTGCAACTTAAAAAAAAAAAAAGAAAAGAAAATGTTTTTCTTTTATTGTTAACAAAAGATAAATAACAAAAGAAATAAATATTTTTACAACCAAAATAACAATAATAATAATTAAAAAACCATACCAAGAAAATGAAAATAAAATGAAATAAATGCACTTGAGAAAACAACAAAATAATAGAAAAATATTGAAAAAAAATATTGAAATGGAAAATGAAAAAAACCTGTGGGAACGACCAGCTGCTAATCATCTTTTACTTTGATCACAGATATAGTGGGCTGCGAAAATGGCAGGCTGTCGTCAAACATTTTGTTTCCATTTTGAAAATGAAATGTTCGAAGCCTGCCAAGCATTCTCATAGCCCATCATATCTTTGACCGGCTGTCCTATAAGGCCACGACCATGGTCAGCAGTTTACGAGTTGGTCGAGTTGGTGCTGGTTACTGCACTTTTGATTCAGCAATTTTTTTTATTCTTTTGTTTACTTCTTCATCGCCTTGTCGTAAGGATCAGTTTGTTGTTTTATGATTTTCCACCAGGACCATTCAGAGGATAAAAAGCAAAGCAAGTACAGTAGAGCTCCAGGGAAACTAAAACCAGTTTGAGTTAGCAGGGAGTTCGAGTTATCGGGGTAAATTTAAGTGAAATTTTGGTCAAGGGAAATGAAATTTAGTTTGAGTTAAAAGGGAGTCCGAGTTATCAAAGTTTGAGTTATTAAGGTTCTACTGTAGAGGCACAATTCTCAAGAATACGTTGTCTCCCCATTGGCAACAAGTTTGGAAAAAGCTGCACTGGCGCATGAAAAGATGTGAAATAAAAGGAACAGAAATGAAGCTAGTATTTCAGACCTGCGGGCAGGGGTACTCCCTTATATAAGCCATGTAGGTATGTACTGCCCTAAAGGGTAGGGTTTCTGCGCCATTTTGATGTGAAATGGGCATGGTTTTCCAGGGATCTACTAAAGTGTATAAATGTATTTGTCGTTTCAATTCCAAATGAGTAAGAAAGAAAGAGAAATGTGCGACTATGAAATGGATTTTAAGAAATCTTTTTTTGTTACTTTTCTAATCTAAGTAATGATGACAAAATTTCTTGGAGGCCAGGTCTCAAAACAGGTATGAAAAGTGCCAATTTTTGGTCTCAACTAGGATCAGGATTTGGAGAACTGGGCAGCACACCTCCACCAGGAATTCCCAGGAATACCCTCCCCCCCCCAGGACTTCGAAGAAGTGATCCACAACCGCACGGCAATATCAGCGAACTTACTTTATCTTTCCTATGTGGTATTGGGTTGATATTTCTTTTGTGGCAAAAGGACCTTTGGTTGAGACCAAGGGTTGCTTGCTATTGGGCTCTGATGAGAGCCTCTGAATAATTATCTCTTGCGGTACAGTCATGGATCACCAGCTTCATTTCTGATCCTTTTTTTTAACATTTTTTCGTGTGGGTGCAACTCATTCCAAACTTAATGCAGACAGGCAGGTATACCACTTGTCTCGCTTCTAATCCTCTGAACCCGTCGGGGGAAGGGTGGACTGAACAAAGTTTTGTACTGGGCTCTGCCCAGAGGACCAAACCTTTACCTCTTTTGTACCCCTTTTATAACTTTCCATTGACAAATGGTACCCCTTTCACATACCTAGTGTAGAACTTTGCATCCTGTTTATCTGCTGTAAAATGGTTTTCCTGACAGTGTAGTGTAACGGAACAGACAGAAATGGCTATTTCCTGGCACAGACCAGTAGGCTGAGTTGGCTAGGAGGAATTGTGGGTGGCCTCTCTGAGATATATTTGGTTGTTCATTGCAAATTTGAATCAATCTAGGCCGGTATTCATTCAAGGTCTTAACTTTTATTTCATGTGTTAATTTTGTTACATTTGTTTGTAGCAATTTGGCAGTTGTTAGTTTCCATGTACCTCTGCCCCCGAAATGTCTTCACCACAGCTGATTTCAGCAGACGGGTTATATGTTCCCTTTTTCCCACGAAGTGGAAGTACTTGGTTTCTTTAGAGTTGTTTTTTTTTCGTCCTGTGTTAGCCCTTTTGGGCCTTTTTATAGACTGAAATGACATATTCCCTTACCCTTTCATACACTTGAACTAGTGAAATCCCTACCTTTTTATTTACCTGAAGCCTGAGAGAGGTACCCCTTTCAGGAAGAGCCTCCCTGTATAAGCCATAACAGGTAGTAACTGCCGGCCTCTAAATCGCTGAATTGAAAGCGCAGTAACCAGCGCCGACCGACTTTTAAACATGGTCTGATAGGGCTGCTGGTCAAAGGTATGATGAGCCATGAGATCGGTTTTGGATTTCAATAATTTTTTGAGAATGATCAGCGGGTCATTCAAATTGTTCTTTTTCATTTTCTTTTCAAGATGTTGTACACGAATTATTGGCCACGTTCTCCACGGCAATTTGAAAGTTCAAAATGCTTTTACAGTCGTAGTCTTTAAGGGTTTTTGCTTTTTGTTTTTGTTTTTGTTTTTTTTTTCAAGTGCATTTATTTTATTTTGTTGACACGTTTTGTTATTCTCCTTTTGGTTGTAAAAATATTTTTTTCTATTGTTATTTACATTTTGTTGACAATAAAATGTTTTTTTTTTCATATTTTTAAACAAGAAAAAACATTTTTGTAGCCTGCATAGGTGGCACTAGCAATTAATGGGTGCAAGAATGAATGGGCGCATGTGAGGGAGACACGCGAGGAGAGAGGGAGTTGCTGCCTTAGAGGTAGCCTGCGTAGCTGGCGGTATTGTGTACTAGTCAAGCGAGATTTGGCGGCAGAGCCGCCATTGGATCGTGGCTCCGCCGCCAAAACTTTAATCACACCAACACAATACCGCCAGCTACGCAGGCTACCTGAGAGGCCCATGAAAATTATTTCCCGCCCCTATCCAATTACATGGCGGCCACTGCGTGATCAGTCAAAATTTTTGACAGAAAACTATTAAAGCGTGGCAAAGTGCCATACATTTACCTGTTATAAAGATCAGCTATGCTATCTGATAATAGTAGAGCAATGGAACAATAAACCGACGAGAAACACACAGCATTAATCAGTTTCAACCAAAGGCATGATAAATAAGAAAAAAACAACGTCAAAAGTGAATATTCTTGTAAAGAGTGCATGCTATCTATTATAAAAAGCTAAATATTATTCTCTGAGATTACAAAATCACAACTGTATACAACAGATCACCGTGTACATGGAAAATGACCACTGCTTTTTCCACTTAAAGTGGCAGCCGTTTTTAGAGCAGACATGTCTTACTAAACGGACCTAAACTTCAGAACACAAACTGTACCAAGAAGTCTTTCAGGGACACTCAACGTCAATTTTTGGAAAATATCTGTTCCAAAGACGATTTGAGATCTAGAATTTTCGGAACATTTGATGTAAAATTTCTTGCTTGCCTGCCTCTCCTAGGATTTTCGAACATCTAAAAAATCATGTATAATTGGCCATTTTTAACAGTTTTTTACCTTAAAAAGGTCACCCAGAATTTTCGGAAGCCTTATTTCTGACTGAAATTTTCAAAAAGGTAAGTTTTGATCCCTCTAATTTTCGAATCACTAGACTTTCAGCTAGGAAATCCGAGCAGATGAAAAATTTTGGGGGGATAAATATATACCTATATCTACCGTTTAAATACTAAAATACGTTTAACAATGCTTTGTTTAAGTCGTTTATAACTATATTATCGTTCGGTGCCCCTGGTCTTTATAGGATGCAGTAATGAGATATAAAAATGGCACCTCAGGTCGCCTCCGAACAAATAATAACAATAGCGAAAGGTTTTTCAAATTCATACCCCTGGTAAGTGTTTCATTTTGTCAATCCTGTCTAGGTTTTGATGGTATACGTTCCATGGACAACCAGCTGCCAATTTCTTTTTAAACAAAGAATATTTCCTCTAATCTTCATTTCAATGATTGGACAAAATAATCTTTTGTCTGTCGCTGCTTCTGCTAATGCATATTTGATGTCAAATAGTTCCTTTGTGAATACCGTTTAAACACTCAAACTTTTCTTTTAGATTACAGTCACATAGTCCCATTGAAGTGACCTTTAAGATCTGAACTTCCATTATACAGTTGACTCCCGATAACTCGAACCCTCGCTAACTCGAACCAAAATTGATTTCCCCTGGATTTCCATCATACATTTACTGTAACCTTACCCTTGGTAACTTAAACCCTCGATAACTCAAACCTCCCGCTAACTCAAAGAAGTTTTTGTTACCCCTCAGATCATTTCTATATAATTTTACCCTCAATAACTCGAACCATGTTGGATCGAGTTATCAGGAGTCGACTGTACCAGTAAGTGGTGTAATAAATAGAGAATAATACGTGGTCGCGCGGAGATATGGAATTTATCTTCGAGTGTTCACATAGATATTGAATGTGAACACAAGAAGATAAATTCCATATCTCCAAGCGTCCATGTATTATTCTGTTTATTATATAAACAAGAATCAGCTATTCCATAAACCAAAACCATGCCATATAGTCGAGAACCCGACAAATGTAATTCATTGTTTAAAATACTCCAGTGTAAACTCGGAGCTCTACAAAGTACAGAGGTTAAAATGTTCTCAAACTATCAAATATCAATAATTTCACATGTAAAAATATCGTATTTTTACGTGTGTTCAGATACCACATTTCTCGGTGGTAGAAATCTTGTAAAACACTGCAGTTTATATAATAAAAGACCTTATTATATGGCTGAGTCTGTTTTCGCCAAGCGATTGGTCAATTTGCGGTCCGGTCCGTAACTTGCTATGCGCACCAAAAGTTTTAAAGAAAATACTCATTTTGGAGCTTTAAATCTCTTTACCTCAGAAAAAAGGTTTAAATAAAATTATAAGAAGGCTGTCAACCGTGAGGACTTGGATGTTGACTTTGGCCTTCAACATTTTAAACTGTGTTTATTTGTGAACGAAGGGGATGAAGAAACTAACCCGTAATCTTATCGAAGAGGATTCTAGTCAGTGTTTGAAAATTTTATCGCAGTACACAGTTAAGAAGACGAAAATCGACTGGCAGAGATTCGAGACGTTTTGCCTAAAAGAAATGAGTAATTCCTTCGACAAATATGATAACAAACATACCTGCAACCGGTCATCTTGACAAGCTTCTTTGCCATTTGCAGTGTTTTTTCAAAGACCAACGAAAGAAAGATAGAAGCGAGTTCGAGCCAGACACAATGACCAGTTTTCAAAAGACTCCAGCGTCACACTAACGAGTGAATACTTACAGTGCTCTTAGTTTTGACCAAATAAATTTTAAAATATGTCTGTAAACCCCGAGGACTGGGATGTTGACTTTGCCTTTCCAAAATTTTAACCTAGCTTTGTTATAATGAGAACGAAGCTGATGTAGAAACTGAATTTTAACCTTACCGAGAAAGAGAATTTTAGTCAGTGTTTGAAAATTTTAACGCAGATCATAATTGAAGATGAGAATGAACTGGCAGAAAGAGAGGTTTTCCCAAGAACAATTAACGAGTGAATCCTTTGACAATGAAAACAAACTTACCTTGAAAAACTTCTTTGCCTTTTGCAGTGTTTTTTTTTACAAGGACAAAAGGAAGAAAGATGGAAACGACTTCTAGACAGACACATTGTCCGGTTTCCAAAATACTCCAGCGTTACGTTAAAGAGCTAAAACTTACAGTGCTCTTAGTTTTGACCGAATAATTTTTACTTTCTTGGAAACCCTTTGTTGTGTGCTATCGTTTTCGTGCGCCAATAAAAACTTTCTTTTTTGACGCCTGTCAAATGACTGTCAAATTGTGCGTCCTGCACTTGTTTCCGGTCCCCCAAACAGGAAGGAGCCATATAATAAACAGTTTATTAGCCTTTTTTTTTGGTCCGTACTGTAAATTACGGATCCTCGTTTTTTCCATCGATTTATGGCGTGCGCACTTCGCGCTTGGGCCATAAATCGATGGAAAAAAAACTTGGTCTGTAATTTACAGTACGGACTGAAAACTCGGCTAATAAGAGGTATTTAACTGCCTTTTCCATGTACTACATGTTCGCAAACAATCTTGTGTTTTCTTTGATTGACAGTTTTCTCGCCCAGCATGATCATTTTTTACCTCAGTAGAACTCTCGACCAATTGGGAATGTCCGCACTCCCAGAAAGTGAGTTGAAACGATTTTCCTGGGCCACTAGGCAGGCGCTCCCTCTCCCTTCTCGTATGTCTATCTCATGCGTTGGTTCTTTCTTGCGCCAATTTTATACTTCCAAACACCTGCTACGTAGGCTATTTTTTGTTTTTGAAATCACAGCACAAATCTGGCCAAATTTTTTGCGGAATGCTCGGCCACCATAGTCAAGTTGTTTTCTTACTGTTCTTGCTATGTTTTTAGCCAATAGTTCGTGAAATGATGGAAATGTTCTGCCATTTTGTATTCACTACCAAAACAACTCAACCTCGTCCCTAGGTCTTCTCGGTTAACAGTTCAATAGTCTGGCAATTTGGCTGCATAATTGATGTCATCAGTTCACATATCGCAAGATTCTTCCAAATTTGGTTGACTAGCCAATCAGAAACGGAGAAATATTTTGATAAATATAATTATTTTATTATTATTATTACTGTCCCATTATGGATATATTTCTGTTTTGGTTATATTTTATCCTTTATTTAAATTTTATTTTCCATTGTCATGGGGTATGATAATGTGTGATAAAATGTTTCAAACAAAAGAGTGTGAAATTTAAAACAAAGATATTTGCGCAGTCTTTGACTGTCGTTCCTCATTCTTTGCTGCAAAACCACATGGAAATGCTTGCTATGCAGGCTATTTTATCTGAGACTTTATATTTTTGGGTTTTTTAGAAATACTCAAGAACCTCAGATGACAGATGAGGAAAGAATACAGGCCATTGCTACTCAGTATGCTGTCCTTACAAACAAGACATCAGGTAGAACAGCAGGTTTTGAATTGTATTTTCCTTATTTCAAACTCATTATCTACCTCCTTTACTGACTTATAAACAAAGGAAAAATAAGGAGGAAGCATGCCTGAGCCTTTAGGGCACTGGGCTATAATCCAGGGGCTCTGAGTTCAAGTCCCGCCCTTACCAGTAGCTCTTTTTTTTGTCAGTAGTCTTGAGTTCAAATCTTTGGGAACGCTTGTAAAGTAGCCAACTGGTTTGCCTCCTACAGTAACATTTAAATTGAACTGCAGTATGTACGATAAGAGAAAAGATGCCAGTAAGTTTAAGCAACTGAGTAGCGAACATGAATATCAAGGTAGTAAGTGTTCAATTTGAACTATTCAGTATTATGCCATCTTACTATGGACACTAACTTGATGTTGCAAGTTGTCTGCAGTAGCAGTAGTTGACTGTGTTCCAAAGTAAGGGAATTTTTTTAAACTTATTAAAGGGTACAAACCCAGATAATAGGTCTGAACATGTTGAACCACTTTTAAAAATAATATTACGGTAGAAGATAAATGGGTGTATTAAAAAAGCGCAAAGTCACTGTTGATAAACTGGTAGATTTTCCCTTCAAGTTGCCTCATATGTATGTTTCAGGTAAAAAATTTTGAATCTAGGTTGATTCTCAATTTTGTTTGTCTCCTAGGGCTAGGAGACAGGGAATTGAAAATCATCCTAAAGTTAACCCCAAATTACTTGAAATCAAATTAATATAACAATAACATTCTATTAAGACTGTCAATTGTGATTACTTGTTATGTTTTCACAATTCCAGGCGGCTTCGTGGACTTTCTTACAATCTTAAACCAATATTGCCAAAAAAGTCGAATTAATGTTCCCAAATACAGTGAAGTACCTGGTGTGCTGGGTGGATATGGTTCACAGGTGTTTGTGAAAGGTCAGATTTTCACTAACATGAAGTACTGTGCTACTAAGAAGGAAGCCAGGCATGATGCTGCAAAGGTCGCTTTGCTTGGTCTCAACATCCCTGTGGGTTAGTGTGATCAATACTTTACGTGTTATTATGAAAGACCAATAATTAAATGAAATCAGAACTTTACCTACAGATAAGGATGATGTTACAAGTTTTAAGAAGTCTTGTAAGGAGTTGGGGTTTTGTACCTGTGTTTAATTTTTTTTTAGTTAGGAAGTGCTTCTGATTTGGAGAAATTCATGCATGAAATCCTGTCACTTTCAAAGGTTTGTTGTAGTAACAATAGCTAATAATGTCTCTATTTCACATTAGTTGAGTCGAGAAAAGTTAAATTTGCCACCATAAATATTGTTTTGAAGGCCACCCTTTTTTCAGACCAGATCCTTGAATGTAGTAAGCAAGTTATTTACTCCTATTTACATGGAGCTTTTTAATTTTCTTTTTTCCTGTTCTATGGCATTAATTTTGTCATTAGGTGTATATTAAAGTCATAATTTTTTAACAGTTGACCCAACACCCAACAAACCAATGGCTGCAAGATCTGCTACAGATCATCAGAGACTAAGAGAAACACATGAGTTACATCTTCTGACCCAAGCAGGGCAGCCGCAACCCAGGGGGAGGGGGCTGGGGCAGCCAGTAGTTAAACCTCCTAGCTCTTCTTCCATGTCATCTGCTGGTCCACCAGTCTCCCAACAGCCTTCTCAGAATGGAGGTGATGAAACTGCCTTCAGCTTGCCTGAGGTAATGATCATTTTTCTGAATTGTAATCTATAAAAAATTATGCTGTAAACAACTTTTACTCCAAAGTCATGGGAAGATCTCTCAAATTTCCTAGTGGAAGGACTTCCAGCGGGGGAGGGTGGGTATTCAAGCCATGTATCAGGCCCATGTTTGTTGATGGCTAATTTTTAAATTAGCCTGAGAAAACAGCTAACATTTTGCGTCGGCACTATTAGTTTCCCCCTCAAAATGATGCTTTTTAGTCATTTGGTGGTAGTCAAGTGGCAAGGCAGATGCACCAAGGTGACAATTCATGCTTTGGGATTGTTCAGATAAAAGGTTTGGAGCAGAATATGCTCTATTCGGCCATATCATCATGAGGATAAAAGCTCCTTACCTGCCTGGCAAGAAAAGATCTTTTTAGAAGGCTATTTGTTAATCAAATTTTTACATTGTCTGTTAATTTTCAGGCAACCAATGGCGAGGCTGTCTCTGATGAGTGGACAACAGTGACAAGAAAAGGTAAAACCATTTTAGCAAACAGATTCCATTTTGCTTTTTATAAGGTTTTGACTTTTTAATAATGTGGTTACTTCAGGTCAGGAAATTGTCAGGGAATTAATTTTTTGTTTAGTTCACTAAAACAATTTTGCCTGACCCAAAATATTACTTTTTTCACTTTTTAAAAAATTTCAGTTACAGTAAAAACCCGCGTATAAGAACCTAGAATTTTGGAGTTCAGGCTGAACAGGTTCTTATATTTTGGAGTGTTTTTTTCCAATAACAGGCTGATTAGGTTCTTGGTAGGTTCTTATTTGCAAAAGTTATTTTATAGTAATAGCATTCAGGGAACTGCAATAGAACTAATATGCTATAATTGTAAAGCATTTACAAAAATGTCAAGCCTTGTTGTCGAAACAAGTCCAAAAATCATAAGTCCTGTCCTGCTCAACAACAAAAGGTAGAAGGACTGACTGGACTTGATCAACATTGTACCTTTGTTTTGGCATCCATTGTCCGTACTTTTGGTCTGGAACAGCATTGCTCCTCCTTCTTTTTGATTGGACAGCTCTCCTTAAATTCCTATGAAATTCCTGAATGGTCTCTCTGGCATCATCTGCAGAATGCCGTTTTTTTGTTGGTTCTTCGTCTCAAAGAGATATTATTTCTTCGCTTGAATCGCTGAAACCAGTTGTCGCTGGCTTTGAATTTATTCGCCTCTTCCTTTCCGTAGCAACTTTCGATTTTCTTCTTCATCTTTGATTAAATCCACAGCTTGGAGATTTTGCTCGCTTTCGCTCGCCTGAGCTTGAATTCTGTGAGAACTAATTTTACTGCAAGCGGGTATCTTTCGCTGTTTCTGGCCTTTTCGCAACCATCTTTCTCCTGAGCCTGACCTCTCTCACCCCTCCTGCATTGGCTTTGCGTTTGTTGCGTGCTACTTCCGCAAGGATTTTGTCCCTGGCCTTATTCCACTTGATAACGAGACACTTGCTGATTTGTTTTTCCTCAGCGACTTTTTTCCATTTATTTTCGGCGTTGCTCATTGAATCTAGAAGATCAAGAGTTTGCTTTTTAAACTCTATCGTGTAGGATTTGCGGTTAGAACTTCCACGTCGGCTTTCGCCTTTAGTAGTGCGCGAACTGTCATCTCGGGTGATTCTTCCCTCAATTTCTTGAACATCATTACTGATTTGCAAGCTTATGCTTTGATCAGAGCCTTCTTGAACACTGTCGTCTGCGCTGCATTCAGGATGCTTGAACCTCAGGTGCTTAGCCTTATGCAGTATTTCTGTGATGTTGTATAGGTCTCCACTTCTCAGTTCAACTTTTTTGTGGAAACCACAGTCGAATAAAGTTCGATTCATTTTTCTAGAAGTACACAAACCCGCTTGGAACAGAAATGTGCATGAGCCTCCCACGCAGACGTTCTTACGGGTTCGTCACGCAATCATTCCCCTCCCACGTTCGTGGGGTAGGAACGCGTGACGAACCCCTAAGAACATTTGCGTGGAAGGCTAAAATGTGCAGCGATCAGCGAAAAATCAAGGTGCGAAGAGCCAGCCATCACTGCGTGCCAGCGGCCTTCCAAGTGACACAAAGAACGCCTTGCAGAAATTATCACAGCGTGTTTGCTATTTCGCCCGGCTATTTCGTCTGGTAAAATCTAAGCTTTCACGTGCTAAATCGATATTTATTTCTCAAAAACCAACCATAAGCAAGCTGGAGCAATGGCAGATGACTACGAAGTCTTTATTGAGGCTAGTGTTCGAGTTTGTCATGCATGTTTCAAAGATTCGACCGTTGTCAAAGTGTTGATGTGCGAAAGAGAACTCGACAATGTGCACGGCAAACACGCCGTTGCTGTCAACAATGAGGAAGGCAAAGTTGTTGGACATCTTCCAATAGAACTATCAAAGGTGTTTGCCCGATATATTCGTGATTTTGGGGAAGTGGAGGCTGAGTGTATCGGTGTTCGATATAATAAAGGAGGAAGCAAAGGTCTGGAATTTCCAGTGGATTACAAATTGTCGGGGAACTTGCGGTACCTGGAAAAGCTGGTCTCAAGGATAAAGAAGAGAGAAACCACATGCGACCTCAAAATTTCAATCATCAGGATCAGAACCACTAAAGGATTTAAAGACAGAAGCAGAACCATAAATTGTTTATTCTGGTTACATGTATCACTGTTACAGTTGAACTGAAAAATCTTAGAGAAACCTGAAAGTATTTAAATAGGGTTTGGAATTTTACACATGTCAGATAAACAAAGAAAAACTTCATGGACGACATGTGCATTCTTTACTTTATTGATATTTTGTCACATGCACTAAAATCACATCTGGGCACTTACAGAATCAAGATCCAAGAGAAAAGTCCTGTTTTTTTTTATATTCTGTATTTAAAAAACTGTTTTGATTTTTAAATGTACTGTACAGTTTTTATGACTGTATTTGTAACTACAGCAAAGTTTTATGGAAGGAATAATATTTTATTGGTAAGACTAAAAAGCATTACACTTCAAAAATTGTCACAATTAAAATCCAGAATTTGAACATCAAATCTGGAGTGTTTTTTTATATAAGAACCTATGTTTCTTTGTCAGGCTGAATAGGTTCTTATATATTTGGGTATTAAAATGCAAAATTTCAGCCTGTAGGTTCTTAAATCACTAGGTTCTTATACGCGGGTTTTTACTGTATTGAAATAATACTTCTATTAGTCACGTTTCCTTATGAATCCCCTGTTATGTGGACTCTTGGTTTGCTCTGTTTGGGGTCTGTTTTAAAGTGCACATGGAGTACAATTTTGCCCCTCGTTCTACCTTAATTTTTTTTGTCATTCAATTTCACAAGGGACAATGTGATGGTAAAATTCATGATTTGGCATAATGAGAACTTGTAAGCAGAGCGAGACTCTAAAAATGCAGTCGTTTCTTTTTTGTCGGTGGGACCTAGTTTGTAGGCCACGCGTTCCTTGCGAAGACCGTGGAAACTGGGGATAAGGATCGTGGCGACTTTCACTGGATGCAAATGAGTCTCGTGATGAGCATGCGGTATATTTTCGGCGACGACTGAAATGACGCATGTAAGTTGGCAATGACGTAATTTTCCTCGAATGGAGGCCCTTGATTTTCGTGTAATTATGCACGACATGCAGGCACTGATTAAAAAGGAAATATCCCCAAGTAGGATGAGAAAATTTTGTAGCGGGGAAATCCTATTTTGTGGTGTTTTAAGGTGACTCGACCCAGTTTTTTTTAGGGGGTACCATCCTACTTTGAAGCTCTCTGGTATCCCCTCCTTTACTTTTGTGGTAAGTATAACACATAGAATGGATAACATATAGATCAATCTACAATATAACATAAAATTTTTGGCGATCGGAGTAAATGTCAAGTGGTTATAATGCCACGCTCCTTTAAGGTCTGAGTCGAAAATCTGCTGTTGCCAGCATTTTTTCGTGATAATCTCTCGGCTACACATAGTGCGCATTAGTGCCTTGCGCTGAACAGAGTTTCACCAAAATCGCAAAGACCCAATTCGAGAAATTCAGCGGTTTCCAAATTTAGGTCATAATTTATGCGAAAATGATAAGCAAACTTTACACGGATTATATCTAATAAACTATGAGATTCATCTCTGTATTTTGGGCATCCTTATAACAGATGGGTCCTTGCAAGTCAGCAAAACGCTTTAGGGCCTTGTAAATGCGCGCGATTTCGAGCAAAGCAAACATATAGAAATTATAGTTTTCGCTATTTGTTGACGTTTGTCAGCGTTTAAGAGTCAATCTCACGAAAAAAGCATTTTCTTAAAAATTCGTAGTTTTTTTTCCTTCAAATTTTTTCAGGGCCACAATTGATTAACTAACTACCCGGACTCTGAATTTCATGGTCATTGAAAAACTGTGACATTATCTTCTATAAGCCCAAACTTGAGTAAACATTGAAGATTTTTAGCGTTTTGGCTGAGTTTGTGCTTTGGGAGTTGTCTATTGTTTCTAGTCTGTCATTATACAGCATTCTTGTTCAGCACGCGTGCAATGACCACGCTTGGCTGACTTCCGAATGCTCACCGAGATATTCCCGTCACGAGTTGGTTTAATTATTGGCTTGCATTAAACCTATGAAAAAATGATATTTTTTTAATAGTAAGTAGATTTAGTGTGTAGCACTTCTTGATTTTTTTGCAAAGGCACAAGAAGCACGAGAATTGATTAAAAATTGTGACTTAAACCTCTATGTATCACGCGATGGCCTGTCTCACTGTACCAAAATTATTATATCTCGGTGAGCATTCGGAAGTCAGCCAAGCGCGGTCATTGCACGCGTGCTGAACAAGAATGCTGTATAATGACAGACTAGAAACAATAGACAACTCCCAAAGCACAAACTCAGCCAAAACGCTAAAAATCTTCAATGTTTACTCAAGTTTGGGCTTATAGAAGATAATGTCACAGTTTTTCAATGACCATGAAATTCAGAGTCCGGGTAGTTAGTTAATCAATTGTGGCCCTGAAAAAATTTGAAGGAAAAAAAACTACGAATTTTTAAGAAAATGCTTTTTTCGTGAGAAGGACTCTTAAACGCTGACAAACGTCAACAAATAGCGAAAACTATAATTTCTATATGTTTGCTTTGCTCGAAATCGCGCGCATTTACAAGGCCCTAAAGCGTTTTGCTGACTTGCAAGGACCCATCTGTTATAACGATGCCCAAAATAAAGAGATGAATCTCATAGTTTATTAGATATAATCCGTGTAAAGTTTGCTTATCATTTTCGCATAAATTATGACCTAAATTTGGAAACCGCTGAATTTCTCGAATTGGGTCTTTGCGATTTTGGTGAAACTCTGTTCAGCGCAAGGCACTAATGCGCACTATGTGTAGCCGAGAGATTTTCACGAAAAAATGCCGGCAACAGCAGATTTTCGACTCAGACCTCAAAGGGGCGTGGCATTATAACCACGTGACATTTACTCCGATCGCCAAAAATTTTATGTTATATTGTAGATTGATCTATATGTTATCCATTCTATGTGTTAGACTTACGATAAAAGTAAAGGTGGGGATACCAGAGAGCTTCAAAGTAGGATGGTACCCCCCAAAAAAAACTGGGTCGAGTCACCTTAAGGCGTTACGTTTCTCAGAATATTGTCGCAATTACTTTCGGAAATCTACGGTTAAATAGATTCACTTTGTTTTATGTATTTAATTGATAGATTTTCGCAGTTGTTAAGATGTGAAGTCGTGTTGCACTTTATAAATACTTGATAAATTAAGTATCCACGTAATTTTTACGTGCGTACGTGCGTAAAATTTGCGTTCGCAAAAAAAATAGAGGCAATGTATGAAAGTTCGCACGTACAATTATGTAAGCGTAAAAGTAGAAACTCGCTCAACTTGACGTTTAATCTCAACACTTTATATCTTAGCTCTGTTTTATTTACGTGATTAAAATTTACGTGCGTTAACGTGCGGAGCCAAAAACGCGTCAGTAGAAATCCACCCTAACGTTACGTATGTGTCACAGATGTGTTTATACGGGTAGCTTTGAACCTGACTATCCGCGCACTCTGCTTGCAGCACTTCATGTCCATAGAATAGAAATCCCATATCGAGCTTTTCCGGAACGGGTTGGTCGAAGAAATCTATTGCTTGAAAGTGTTGATTATCTTGGAACAACTGATCACTTCAGTGGTCGAACAAAAAAAGAATAATCTTAATCAGCAAAACTTCAAGGTTTACTGAAAAATGAGGATCGAGGAATTAGGGATCGAGGATCGGTTAAAAAGAACTTGAAAATACAATGAATAAATAAATGGTGGACCAGTGGTGATGTGGGCCGCAGACTGTAGATACATTTCACAGAACATAACCCCGTTCGCTGTACTGAACACTAAATTCAAGTAAACTAATCCGAGTCTGTCTGAGTCAGTGATTGTTTTGACGAGAAAGTGAAATTTTCCGGGAAAATTAAACGCTTTATCCCAGTGATACTGTAATAAAAGAAAAAACTTTAACAGTTTTTAATTTTTAACTGTACATTTGCTTTCAGTACGACCCCACCAGCAATGTTGATGTTTTTGTCGTGCTAAAGTAAAGTTCTTATCTATCTATCTATCTATCTATCTACCTACCTACCTACCTACCTACCTACCTACCTATCTGTCTGTCTGTCTGTCTGTCTGTCTGTCTGTCTGTCTATCTGTCTATCTATCTATCTATCTATCTAAGTTCTTATCTATCTATCTATCTATCTATCTATCTATCTATCTATCTATCTATCTATCTATCTATCTATCTATCTAAAATGCATGCTGTGTACAACTCTAAACATTGTACTCTGAGACTGTACGGAGATATTTAAAGTAGATAATAAGCAGCTATGGAAAATGTAATTACTTTCAAGCGGTATTGATATCTTATAAAACGGACAACAAATTCAGCAGGAATACGCGCAAACTGAATTAACTGTGTGTTGTATAAGGTTCTGTTAAACTTACACAGTTTTCCTGTGCTGAACATATACTGTACCGAGCCGTACTTTTGTCCGGTACAAAGAAGCTATGTATATTTATACTGACAGAGTCAGGGGCCCCTGATACCGATAAAACTCATCGTTCAATTTTTTGAGTGTAAAATCCCTGAAAGAGTACTCCTCAATGGATCAATATCAATATGTAGAAGGTTTTCAAAGGTCTCACACCGGTTTGAGGCTAAGTTGTGCGGCCTGTCACTCCTTGCAATTTTTACTTTTGAGTATTTACATTATGACATAACACTCGTTTTGTATTCCAAACGAAAAAGTAGTATAACAGCACCGGCGCCTTTGACAACGAAACTTATCTCCAAGCAAGCGAGACTCAACGCTACTAAGAGCGTTCTTGTTTTAGTGTAAAACGTAAAGTTGTTAGACTGAGGAATGAAGACTAGGACCACATTCCTGTGTTTAACTTTGATGTCACTTCACTGGGGCATTAGTTTTGGAAGAATCTTACAACAATTTTCATTATGAGTGACCCAGAGTTTATACATATATTATCAATGTTTTAAAATGTTTGATTGCAGGTGTTAAGAACCCAGTTTATCAACACTCACTAAAGATGGCTGGAC